CTCCACTCTCTGCCTGCGTATTTAATCTTTTGTTAACTCCCATTTTATCTCATACTATTCGCTTCTGCCCATTTCCCCAGCCTGTCAAGACATTTCTGATCATGGTTATATCATCCTTCATTCTGGGGATCTTCCAGCCTTGGCTTCCCTGAAGGCTTCATATGTATGGTGGCTCCTGGCTGGTCTCAATGGCAAACAGATTGGATCAAGAACACAGTCCTTGGCACGCTATAAGAATCTCTCCACCAGTGCCTGACACTAACCCAAACCATTCTGCAGTAGATTCAGGTGGCCCTGTTGTTTCACCTTCCATTCCTCTCTTGTATTTACATGAAAGGCTTGATGAGATGCTTTTCTGTAAGTAAAACCTACTCTGGCCTGTAACCCTGTCTCATAATCCTGTGTAACAACACATTAGGTCTCACTTGTTCTTCATGAAGTTCTGCAGGTTTCTGGGGCTCAAGCTTTTGTTTTCAAAGGCTCCCAACCATCTCTTTAAGAATCCACTCTAGGATTTGCCAGGGAGTAACATCAATTTCCATGGTTTCTAGAATTCACAAGGGAGCCAATATTTGTTCTTTTTAAACCATCTGGTTTTTTTCTTTTATTGCCACAGTTTCTCCAAGATAATTATTTTGGTTCTGAGATCATAGTCTTTAGTGCCAAAGACAGCAGTTCTCTGCCTTTTTCCTGTGATAGGGATGATTTTCCTGCAAATAATCACTCCCATGAAAGGCCCAGGAATCAACACCCAAACCCCTCCCAGGCTGCATCTCCATCCTTTCCCACCGCAAAGCGAATCATAGCACAGGTGAGTGCTATGGAGGTCAGAATAGCCTCCGCTCTATTTTAGCAGCTCTTTCAGTACTTGGACTTTTATCAAATTCTTGTGTGCCACTCACCTTGACAGTTACACACCTGTTTACAGAATAGTATGTATGGATGACTGCCTTCTCCTTAAAAAAAAAAAAAGTGATTCATCTCAGCTTGAGCTCATTTAAAATTTTCAAGTTTGCTTCAGAGGGCAAACTGCTAACATCTGCTAACAATTTGAAATGCCCACTCCCATCCATGACTCAGCAATTTCATACTTCACGTCCATCTCTTCTAAAGAAACAAATGCATGTGTTCACAAGAAGGCACAGACAAGGCTATTATCTCAGCATTATTTGTAATATCAAAAAAGGTAACAGTATTCATGTCCATCAGTAGGGGAATGGTTAAACAAAAGATAATATATTCTTATTATAGATTAGGTCATTCTGTATAAGCTGACATGGAAGGAATTGCAGGAAATGTTAAACAAGAAAACTAAGTTGCAGAATTATCCTGTGATGGTTAATTTTATGTCAACTTTGCTGGGCTATGGTACTCAGTTACTTGATCAAACACCAATCTAGATGTTGCTATAAAAGTATTTCTAGATGTGATTACCATTCAACTCAGTAGAAGAGTAAAGCACACTACCCTTCACAATGTGAGTGGACCTCATCCAATCAGCTGAAGGCCTTAAGAAAAAAGATTGAGATCCCAGAAGAAGGAATTCAGCCTCCAGACTCAAAACTGCAACATCGACTCCTGCTGGAATTTGCAGCCTGCTGGGCTACCCTGCAGACTTTGGATTTTACATCCTCCACAGTCATGTAAGCCAGTTCCTCAAAATGAATCTTTCTAGATACAAGATAGCCTACTGATTCTCTTTCTCAGGAGAATCCTGATGAACACAGATATAAATGCTGTGATGCCATTAATGGGGAGAAAACTTCACAGAGTCTCTTAGACTTTAGCCATATTTGTCTCCTTGTAGAAAAGAAAGTAAAATAGGAGTTGAATCATCCCATTTTTATTGTCTTAAACATACTCTTCTTGTGCAACTTCTTGCTTTCAGCATGATTTTAAACGGCATGTGTGTATACATGTGCACACACGCACATATGTAATTCGCATATCTCATCTCATTCTAGGCTGAGGTGCATATGTGTCTACCTCACGCCACCTGCACACCTCAGCTCATTCCAGGCACAACATTCCTCCTCTTTTGGGTTTGCCTTATTTTTGTCACCATCCCTGGAGGCTCAGGTACCCCCTTCTGTCCTTGTAAATTCACACTCATCTATCTCCACAGCGACAGTGGTTTTCCTTAGTTGTCTCCAACTTTTATTTTAGGGTGACATGTCCACCTGGAGCCAGCGGGCCTGTGAGCATTTCTTGCCATGGGGCCATATCAAACTTTCCCCTGAGCCTCTGAAATTCTTCTTGTCTCTGGAGAGGGCCTCTAGTACTCTTCTGCTATTAGGAACTTCACAGAGAAAAGCTTAGTTTGTACAGTTTGTGTTGCCCAGGTAAGTCATTTCCCTTCCCATAATGATGGGGAAGAGATTACATTTAGAAATAGTGACCCCAAAAGGTCATGATCTGATTATTGAGTCCTGACTTCTGATCTGAAGCTTTGACCCTGTCTTCGGATACTGGAGCCTGGGATGGCTGTCTGTCCCTCTTTTATCTCTTTTAGCCATTATTTTCCCTCTGCCTCCTCCTTGGCAGCAGCCACTTGCTTGGGCGTTCTGAAATGTATGTGGATTGTGGCAGTGGCAGGACACAGAGATGATGGGCTATTGGACCAAAACCAGTCCTCCTGCTCCCCCATGGGGCAGGTGGGCTAGACTAATCCATGAAAGAGTACATACGAATGAAAACCATTTGAGATGGTGGAGATTAGAGGTTCCATAACAGAACTCTCAGGGAACTGGGAAACTCCATAGGCTCAAAGAGAATGACTGCTCTTTGATGCCCAGGAACAAGGATGCAAAGGGGCGTTTGCTGACGCCCCACACATCAAGGAGCCTCGGGAAGAAGAGCCTACAAAGGAAGTAGGAAGGCATTCAAGGCTAATTGTGCCCTGCTGACCAGAAGTGCCCTGGGAGAGAGCAGAGACTGAGCAAGGCCTCCTGGACACAGTGGGCTGCAGCTGGGTATTGGCAGTCAAGTCAGGACTTGAATGGGCTAAGGGATTGAGTGTGGGGGCTCCCTGCTGTGGGAAGTGACAGGAGCAGAGGCCAGCTGGAAGAGAAGGCACATCTATTAATTTTTTTTATAATTAGAACACATAATGGATAATGTGGGTGAGCTCCCAGATGCCTTCAATAATGGATAATGTGGGTGATCTCCTAGATGCCTCTGATAATGGATAGTGTTGGTGATCTAGATGCCTCAGCTCCCTTTTTACCATCGTGCTTTCACCTCAAGCAGGCAGCACTTGTGCCTCTTAGCAGAGCCCTGCCCCTGAGCTCCAGGAGCCTGCCCTGCTTTAAGCAGCAAGAGCCACAAGTGCCCTGAGGCGGTCCTCGTCAATGACAGAGGAGTGTGGGTGTACGAAAGCTCTGCTCCCTGGCCTCAGATGGGGACAACTCTGAGCGTAACTCACCCCTCAGAGCTCCCCACAGGATCGGACTAAGCCACTGGTCACGGGATGTCCTTAAAACTGTGTCCTTCCTGGGCTGCTGCTACTGTGTTGTCCGACTTCCCCCACTCCCTCACTGGCAGCACATCCTTAATAAGTTACTTGCACATGAATACTTGTCTTAGCGTCTGCTTCTAGGGAGCCTGGCCTAAGACCATGTGTAAAAAAATTCCATTCAGGAATATTACATTGCAAATTGAGATAAAAGTTACTGGAGGTTTTATAATAATTTTAAACAAAATGCTTACAGTGCAAATGTGTATATAGTAAAGACTGAATCCTCCTCTCTCCTCTGACCCTCACTTCCCTAGTTTCCCTTTCACAGAGAAAGCTCCTTCCAGAGAGGAGGTGGTATACACACAGAGGTGGGTGTGCACGCAGAGCTGGGTGTGCATCTGTATAACGGAGAGGCAGAGGGAGATTTTATACACATAGAGGTGAAGGCAGAGTAGAGAGTTGAAAATGCTTTGAAGATTAATGAGGCCACAAGACAAGGAATGCCAGCAGCCACTAGCGCCGGAAAAAAACGAGCGGATTCTCCCCCTGGCCTCCAAAAGGAGCAGGGGCCTGTTATAACCTTGATTTTTGACCCAGTGATCCTGATTTTGAACTTCTGACTTCTAGAACTGTGAGAAATTTCTATTGTTGTAATCCATCAATTTTGTGGTCATTTATTATAGCCACCCTAGGAAATGGATATAACATGCATGGATGTCTCTCCAGGGTCACCCTGTAGGGAGTCCTTGACAGTATGTTTGCATGTGAAGAGTCTGGGGAAGACTTTGTGGTTGAGGCAAGGGCCTGGACTTCTTGCAATGGGTTGAAAGGAGCCATAGTGGGATTTTCATCAGAGAGCTGTACATTGGGACAACTGGCCCTGGAGAAAGGGCCAGAAAGGGGGATAGAGCAACAGAAGCCCAGGGAAATAGAATAAGGGTGGTGGTCGTGGGTATCAGTTGGGTTGCTTTCCACTGTTCATAGCAGGAAATCCAACTAAAAGTGGCTTAAGCCGTAGGGGTGTTCATCTCATCTCACTGAGCAGGAAGTCTAGAGCAAGATGGGGAGATTGCAGAGTCAGCTTTTTCAATGGCTTAAAGATGCCACCAGGGACCCAGGTGCTGCCATCTTTCTGTACTCATCCTCAGCCTGTCTGCGGGCCTCTCCTCATGATCCTCACAAGGTGACTGTGGCATTCTAGGTGTCTCATGCAAATGTGATGACAGTGGTGAAGAACAGGAGCAGTTTTTTCCTGCCACATGTCCCTTTTTATTAGCAAGTAAAACCTTTCCCAGAAACCCCCAACAGATTTCCTCAGGTCTCATTGGCCAGGGTTGAGTCACAGACCCATGCCACTTGTCAAGAGTCATGGTTGTCCAGGCCTGGGGGGTGTCAGTGAGGAAGGCGGCCTGGGCCATCGAGGGGCTGTTGGCTTTGGCAGCCAACAGAATGTGCCACTGAGGGGGACTAGCAAGGCAGGATGCTCCTAGAGGTATTTTCAAGACTGGACTTGTTGACGGTCTGGATAATGAGATGACAAACGGAAGTGTTTGACTTTTAATCTTTATCTGCACTTTTTTCTTCCATAAACTCAATTGTCCTATTTTCTCAGACATCCATATTTCACTTCATATACAACATTTAGTGATACAAGTAAGATATAGCTTTTTAAAAATTTATCCAACAAATAAATATTGAGTTCCTACTGTGTGTCAGCCACTGTGACAGCATGATGAATGGATGAAATTCAGGCAGGCAGGATTGATTCCATTTAGTCAAGGGAAGGAGTGTAGTCATTAAAAATGAATGCCCACCCCCTGGCCTTTCCACATTCATCAATAATTCCTCTTCATTGTCAAGCTTCCTGAGGGGTGCTGGAAGACCTTAAATCACAGAAACCTTTTAAATCTGACGAGGGGAGAGGCAAGTATGCCATTCTGGTGAAGATCATGGGGCAAAGTGAATTTCGATTCTTGCTGCAGAGGAAGAAAGGATGAAACAAATGATCACATTTTCAAAATCCTGTGACAAATGCGGTTTAAAATATTCAAGGTACGCCACAGAACGACAAGAAATAAGTGTATTAGGGTTCTCCAGTAAAAAAAAGAACCAGTAGGAGATTATGCACACACACACAAAGACACAAAGAGATTTATTATAAGGTTTTGGCTCATGTGATTATGGAGACTGAGGAGTCCCACAGTCTGCTGTCTGCAAGCTGGAGACCGAGGAAAGCCAGTGGTATAGTTCAGAGGCCTGAGAGCTGGCAGCTGATGGTGCGGATTCCAGTCCAGGTCCCAAGCCCTGAGAACCAGGAGCAATAAGGGCAGAAGATGGACATTCCTGTTCAAGCAGTCAGGCAGTGTTAATTCAGCCTTCCTCCACCCTTTTGTTCTGTTCAGGTCCTCAATGACTGGATGATGTTCACCCACACTGGGGAGGGCCATCTGGTCTACTCAGTTGGCCCATTCAAATGCTAATCTTTTCCAGAAACACCCTCACAACATGCCCAGAAATAATGTTTATGCATCCTGTGGCAAGTTAAGGGCTCAGTGTGATAACAAGGGCTATATCTTTAGGTTTTCCCAATGTGTTTGAGATAAAAGGGTTGGAGATAATTCTATCAGAGCTTTAAACACACACACACACACACACACACACACACACCCTACTTATTATCTTACAGTTTCTGGGCCAGAAATCCAGGTGGGCTGAACTGGGTCCTCTGCTGCTTAGGGTCTCAAAAGGCTGAAATTGGATGTCAGTAGAGCTGTGTTCCTTATTAGAGGCTTTGGTGGGGAAGAATCCACTTCCAAGTTCATTTAGGTTGTTGGCCTTGTGGTTGCAGGTCTGAGGTCCTTGTTTTCTTGCAGCAGTTATCCAGGAGCTGCTCTTTGCTCCTAGGGGCTGCCCCCATTTCTTATGCTTTCCATGTGGCCCCCTAAAAGAGCTTTTCAGATGCATGAGAGCCACAGATGAAGAGAGGGCAAATGGTTCTCCAGAGACAACTGAAGTATATTAAATCAGTGAGCATAAAAGGTTGGAGGGTGTTCTTGTAGTTATGTGTTCACTCATCACCACTCCTTGAAATATGTTCTCTGAAATTTGCCTGGCCAAGGCTTTTAATGCAGCTAAATAAAAAGGAAGGGCCTATGGGTGGTGTATAACTGATTGAGAAGCCGTACTTGGCAACGATGTGCTTTCATTGGGAGCAGGTCTTTCTTCATGGGCTTTCTGATGCCATCCTGTGCCTTGTCCTGTTTCACATCTTTTTCAGGGGCTTGTGTAGGGATCTAGAAGGTGGTGGACCTGAAGAGACCTGATTCTGGGAGGCCACAGAATATCTTGGGTGGCCCTCGGGATCTAAAGAACATGGATGCTCTTGGGCTCCACAAAAGCATTCTAGTTGGGCAAAGGGGAAGAAAGCCAGGTCATGTCTGAGAGTGGGGAAGACTCTGGAGTACCCACCCATGCCAGTGTCAACCAGAGCTGCTTGTTCTGAATGTATCTGTTTTTACATGTTGTTTCTAAATCAGATTATAGTTGATGCTTAAAGGAAGCATCCTATTAATAAAAAAAAGAAACAAAACAACCTTGAAAATTACTGATCTAATCCATTTCCTTTTTTGAGTAGGTTTTCCAGACTTCTTAAACCCCTCCAATCTCTTACCTCTTAGTATATGAATATTGGACTAAAAACCAGTCCAATAAATGTAATAGGAATACATTTAAGTATCAACAAATTGCATTTAAGCTCAAAAAAGTCAATAATATAGAATGGTGAATACCTGATTTGACAATAATTCCAAAGAAAAAGAGTTAATACAGGCTAAGGATGTCTCTACTGCTTCCCTCCAAGTGCTCTGGGCTGTGACCCAGTGAACATTTCCAGATCACAGCCCATGTTTCTTTGGGCTCACTCTCTGCTGAGACCCTGCTCCACCTCCGATCTTCACTTTTGAGGCAGTTGCTCACCCTTTCCAGCCCAACCGTGATGCCACCAGCTTTGTGGGGCCATCCATAAGACTATCAGCTGGCTTTGCTCTCCCTTCCTTTTTAAACAACCACATTTCACCTTACCTAGGAATTACTGAAGTTACCAAATTGCTATGCAAAGTCCTTGAGTCAGGGACCAGCCATTCCTTATATTCATGGTTTCTGGATCCAAATTAGTTCCTTTTGTGTTGCAGTTTTTTTTTTTTTTTTTTTTTTTAACAAACTGATTGAATAAATAATTGGATGAAGTTAGCACTGCTTAGAAAAGATATCTTTGACCAAATTTATGAAAACACATGCATGAAGGACTTCTCCCTCTTGTCTTCAGTCTACTGCTGGCTGACTTGGAGTCTTAGGTTCCACCATGACCACCATACTTGATGAGAAACATAGACTCTAGGGTACAGGTGAGAGTGACAGCCACGGGGGAGACACCTGGAAATGGTGGGAAACAACTGGACATGTTTATCTTGGAGGAGGAAAAAACAAGGGCAGTCAGGTAGCTGGCTTCCTCATATCTTTGAAGGGCTGACTTACGAGAAAGGAAGTAGACTGTTTTTGTTGGTTGTAAGGGAAAAACTAGGTCTAATTGGAGAGTGTATGTGGAATGCTTCAGCAGAGGAAGTGGCTGGGGCCTAGGTATGTCAACTCCCAGATGCTGGTGTGACGCGGATGTTCCATCACCACTAATTAGGAGTGATGTTTTAGGCAGGAAGGACTAGCGCGGTGGTTCCCAAACCTTGGTAGTCCTAAGAATCACCTGAGGACTTATTAAAAATTCACATTCTGGCTGGCTAACTCGTGCCTGTAATCCCAGCTCTTTGGGAGGCTGAAGTGGGAGGATTGTTTAAGCCCAGGAGTTCAAGACCAGCCTGGGCAACACAGTGAGACATTGTGTCTCTACATTTAAAAAAAAAAATTAGCTGGGCATGGTGGTGTGTGCCTGTATTCCCAGCTACTCAGAGGGGCTGTAGTGGGAGGCTCACTTGAGCCTGGGAGGTTGAGGCTGCAGTGAGCTAAGATCATGCCATTACATTCCAGCCTGGGTGACAGAGCGAGATTGTGTCTCAAAAAAATAACAAAAAACACTTTGGGAGGCTGAGGCAGGCGGATCACGAGGTCAGGAGATCGAGACCATCCTGGCTAACACGGTGAAACCCCGTCTCTACTAAAAATACAAAAAATTGGCCCACCATGGTGGCAGGCGCTTGTAGTCCCAGCTACTCGGGAGGCCGAGGCAGGAGAATGGTGTGAACCTGGGAGGCAGAGCTTGCAGTGAGCCGAGATTACGCCACTACATTCCAGCCTGGGCAACAGAGCGCGACTCCATCTCCAAAAATAAATAAATAAATAAATAAATATGCATTCCCAAGTGACTCTGCCTCCCTGGAGACTCAAAGTCAGAAGGTCTGGCGGGTGGGATTAGGGATTTGCATGTAAAAAAATTCAGCCAGGCCCAGCAGCCACTGGACTAGAGGTCCACCCTGACCCCTTCCAGCTTGAATAAGCTGGGCATGCATGTTGACACGCTGCTTTTAAATCAATGGCCTCTTTAAACATCCTTTTGGGGTGAAGTGGCAAATTGGGCTTGGCAAATTAGACTGAAGGATTGAAAACTAGTCTAGTGAGGGCAAGAGGCCTCTGCTTTCATTCTTATAACTTTTTTTCTTTTTATAAAAGTGATCCATGGACACTTTCTCAAAATGTTAAACATAGTTACCATATGACCCAGCAATTCCACCCCTATATTTAAGAGAAGTGAAAACATATGTCCATATAAAGACCTATGTACATTAATGTTGATGGCAGCTTTATTTGTAATGTCCAAAAAAGTAGAAACAATTTAAATGTTCATCAAATGATGGATAAACTATGGTATATCTGTATAATGGAATATTATTTGGCAATAAAAAGGAGTAAAGATATATGCTACACGTATGAACCTTGAACATATGCTAAAGTGAAAGAAGCCAGTTGCAAAAGACCACATATTATATGAATCCATTTATATGAAATATCCAGATTAGGCAAGTGCATAGAGACAAAAAGTAGACTTGTGGTTGCCTAGGGGTGGGTGGGGGAAGAGGGGAGTGACTGCTAATAGGTACAGGGTATTGGTGTGGGGGATGATGAAAGTGGTCTAAACTTAGATTGTGGTGATGGTTGTACAACTCTGAATATATTATAAGCCACTGAATTGTTGGCTTTAAATAGGTGCATTTTAAGATACTTCAATTATATATCAATAAAGATGTTGAAAAAAGTGACACGTGGTCATTAAAGATAATTTAGAAAACACAGTAAAGAAAAGAAAGCAAAATAAACCCCAGCTTTCAGCATCACTGCAAGATAGCTGCATACCATCTTAGGATAATCCTTCCTGTGTATATTCTGTTTATATTTGCATATTTTTTACAAAAATGATATCATACTCTTCATACTGTTATACATTTGGGTATGTAACTGTATCCTGAAAATGTTCCTGTTATTAGGCTTTTACTTCATTATTTTTAATGGCCATAGAGTACTTCAATCTATGAACAATTTTATTTTAATTTATTTAATTAGTTTTCCATTGGTGGGTTTTTGCTGACTTCAGTTTTCTTGCTCTTATAAACCATTAATATTCTTTAGCAATATCACTGTAATTCATGTCAGTTTTGATTCAAGGTCCTTACTTTTTTTAGAAAAATAAACTTTCTATTTTAGAGTAGTTTTAGGTTAATACCAAAACTGAACTGAAACCACAGAGTTCCCATACAGTATGTAGCCTTTCCAATTGGCTTCTTTCACTTAGTAATATGGATTTAAGGCTCCTCCAATCTCTTGAGAGCTCATTTCTTTTTAGTGCTGGATAATATTTCATTGTATGGTTCTACTGCAGTTTCTCTATCAGTTACTGAAGGGCATCTTGGTTGCTTCCAAGTTTTAGCAATTATGAATAAAGCTGCTGTAAACAGCCATGTGTAGGTTACTGTGTGGACAAAAGTTTTCAGCTTATTTGGGTAAATAACGAGGAGTATGATTGCTGGATCATATTGTAGAATATGTCTAGTTTTGTAAGAAACTGCCAAACTGTCTTCTGTAGTGGCTGTACCATTTTGCATCCCCATGACAGTGAATGCGAGTTGCTATTGTTCCACATCCTCGCCGGCATTAGGTATCGTCAGTATTTTGGATCTTGGCCATTCTAATGTGGCATCTCATTGTCTTATTTGCATTTCCCTAAAGACGTATGATGTTGAGCATCTTTTTATATGCTTATTATTTGCTATCTGTGTATCTTCTTTGGTGAGGTATTTGTTCAGATCTTTTGCCCATTTTTAAATTGGGTTGTTTTCTTATTGTTTAGTCTATGAATTCTTTGTATATTTTGGATAAAAGTCCTTTATCAGATATGACTTTTGCAGATATTTCTCTTAGTCTGTGACTTGTCTTCTCATTCTCCTGAGGCCTTTACTTTTTGAAACCAGTGAATTTTTATCCCATGAAAACAAATTTTACCTTTGATTTACCTTGAAAATTCTTGATGATGTTCAGAAGCCGGTTTGGACAAGAAGGTGAGGGGTAGGGAGTAGCACAAAAGCATTATTCTATTTAGAATCTATTTGGGCCACAGGATTCTGCAGAGTTACCTTCCTGTATAAAGACAAAGTCACTTTGAAAGAAGCAGATACACTCGTCTCCATTAAATGTTTGTTGGATGTTTTGTTTTTCAGTCTCCATCAGCTGGCTTTTGCTGTGTAACTAACCATTCCAAACTTAGTGGCTTCAAATAACCATGTATTAGCTCATGATTCTTTAGGTCATCTGATCAATTCTTCAGCCATAGGGCAACCCTGCTGATCTCTGCTAGGCTCTCTCATATGTCGGCTGATGGCTGAATGATCTAGAGTGGCCTGACTCATATGTCTGGCAGTTGGCTAGAACACAGCCTGGTGTATCTTAACATTCAGTAAGCTAACCTGAACCTCTTCACAGGATGGCAGCCACAGGATTCCCAAGAGCAGCAAGTGGGCAAGCCCCAACGTGCCAGCTTAGTTCATGCCGCAGTTTGCATCACATTTGTTAATGTACTATTGGCCAAAGAGAGTCACAAAACCAGCTCAGAGTCAAGAGATGGAGAAACAGACACTACCTCCTGATAGGACCCTCCATAACACACGGCAATGGAACAGAAACAGGGAAGAAACAAGTTTATGTGTGGCCAGGTAAATAATGGCCTTGTGCTTGATGGCCAGTACATGACTGTATCTAATTTTCATACGTGAATATACTTCCAGCTTCCACATACAAAGTGCCCATAAAATGGTAACACAGCATCCTGGCAAATTAATTCACATTTTTGGTGGCAAACTCATGTCTCATTTTAGGTATGATTTACAGCAATTTTGATAAGACTTTGAGGATACAAGACAATGGTGGCAGAACCTACCCCAAAAATGCTAGCACAGGTGCATTTATTCACTCACTCAACAACTAATTATCAAACAAATACTTCCTTAAGTGCCTGGGATTCATCAGGAAGAAGATAAACTCCTTGCCTTTGTGGAATTTGTGTTCTACTGCAGGGGCAGAAAAACAAGGAAGTGCTAATTCGTGATCAATATGCAGAAATGGTAGGACAGGGAACAGAGTGACGGGGGCGTTTTCTAGAGGACCCCAAATAGGGTTGTCCAGTCTCTCTGAGACTATTTTCATTTTCTTGACTTTGGTTTTTTCATCATTGGTTTGTCCCATGGTAGGTGTCAGTGCAGATGCTGATGGGGACCCGGCAGTGCATCTGTTATGGCTGTGGTGGATTTATCTCTGGTAGAGCAGGGAGCCAGACAGAGTGGGAGGCGGATTGCAGGACTTGTGGCATTGGACTAATGAACAGCCAGAGGTCTGATCTGTCCTGAAGGCAAGATATTCCAGCTGGAGGTTTCTGGCACCTCAGAAGCCCTATCAGAGATGGGTCCTCAGAGGGCATGCTGTGGGATTAGTGCAATGCAGTTTGGTTTAAATAAGAGCAAAGCATAAGGAGGGAGGGCTGAGCAAGAATTGTGGTAGCCATAGCAACATGATACTGACAGTTGAGTCACCAGTCACCACAAGGAGAGTATTGGCCAACTGCGATTGCCCCAGCACGGCTTGAGAACGTGGCACCTTTGAAGTTACCAGGCAGAGAAAGTCAGGGAGAGAGAAATTCATCGTGTTGAGCTTTTCCCAGCATCCCACGTCTTACCAATCCCTTCCTTAGTGAGTCAAGGCTGTGACAGCCCAGCGCATGGTGTGTTGTGTGGCTCTGTTTATTGTTAGCTAGGACCGTGAAATCACCTTTAATCTCCATTTCCCCCTCTCTTAAGGTTTTGAACCAACCTTTATTCAGAGACCTCTTCTGGGTTTGCATTTTATGATTATCAGTAAGCTGTTGGGAATCCACTGCTGATAGGTGGAGGGGACAAAGTTGACACTTTTGGGTTCTAGAATTCCTGCAGACTGGCTCTCTCCCCAGGTCTCCAACTCCAAAATAAACATCTTTTAATTATACACTTCAGAAAAGCTTTTTTTTCCAATCCCCTTTCTTTTGTCTGGGTAATAGGTAAGGTGAAAAATCAGAAAGGCTAAAGTTACGATGTAGGATCCCTCATTCACCTCTGATGGTCTAAAGAGAGTAATAAGTGGCAAGTCCCATTTACCCCCAGAGAGCCTAGTTTTCTGTCTCATCAAAGCTAGTGGGAGGGACTTGGCAAGTCTCTGGATGAAGAAAATGTTTCTTTTTTAATTGTTATCAAACAAAGCTGTTTCTAAGTTGGCCTGGGAGGACCCCCTCACCCTGAAGCAATCTATGTGTGT